ATCTGGGATGTCATTCGATCATGGACGTACGTAAAATTTTGTGACTGTGACAAATATATACACAAAACGTGAATTTGACCCAAGATAATATTGCTTGACGTTCCACGATTAATGCTTCTTTCATATTCTTGGTCTTTTATCTGATATTCAACGTACAACAATGATTAAACAGTTAAAAACTCTGTAATTCAGTAGAAGTAATAGATACATTATCATTAGGAGGTCGTGAAATAATCATTAACTAACGGTCACTAAACACCACACATTATCATTAGAGAAGAAATTTAACCTGCCTTATACAAAATACACTATACATGAACTAAAGTTAATTAATTAATTAAAGTTAATTTATTAAAGGTAAGATCACCACAAATTATATAAATAACATTAAAAACATATTTACTTGTATAATCTCTATTAAAACAAACTATATAAAAAAATTTGACTCATATTTAAAAGATGCAAGATTGTTTTTTAAAATAAACAAAGATATAACTGTGATTGATTGTGACAATCTACACAACTTAATCATATTTGATAAAGGAGAATACAATAGAATATTGTAAAAATTATTGCAACATAATAATACTTACCGAATTACACATAAAAACCAACAAACAAAGTAAAAACTATAGCTAATAATTTAATAAATATCCTTATAAAAGAATAAGTAACATAAAAGTATGAAAAAGATAGGTGTAAAACATTCAAAATTATACGGGACATATAATGTTAAAAACCACAAGTTTACACGAATTATTCTTAGTAAGCACATAATTTAATTGTAATATTTTAAAATGACTTAATTATCATTACCAATCTGTATAGCTACAACCGGGCAAACTCTTCTGATGATAAACAATTCCTTAAAAATAGTACTATAGATAAAAATGTGTGGTGATTAGTGACCGTTAGTCGATGATTATTCAACAATCGTGAGATGCGGTCTGGTGTGATGCAGGTTTCAGAAAAACATTTTCTTTATCATGCCAACGTTTCGACCTTTATTGAGATCATCTTCAGGGCCTGGGATTTACAAACATTGTTTAAATTATACAAATACATGTAGGATGTGGAAAAAAGTGAATTTATGCAATGCAAAAAATATATTTTTTATATTCAAACAAAGACTTTCTACTCACTCAAAGTGTTAATTTTTTGGGTAAGTGTGCCTTTCTTGCGTGTCGTCTTGAGAGTGCCAGTTAGAACAACACGACACGCAAGAATGGCACACTTACGCAGAAAACAAACGCTTTGAGTGAGTAGAAATACTTTGATTGAATATAAAAAATATATTTTTTGCATTGTATAAATTAACTTTATTCCCCATCCTGCATGTATTTGTTAAATGTAAACAATGTCTGTAAATCCCAGGCCCTGAAGATGATCTCAATAATGATCGAAACGTTGGTACGAAAAAAGAAAAGGTTTTCTGAAACCTACATCACACCAGACCGCATCTCACGATTTTTCAATAACTATAGATAAAGATTAGATAATTTGTATTCTAGACATTGTATCCATGTTCAGCTCTATACCCATAGTTGAAACTATTTAAACAATTAAAACCAAATTGAATATATTAGATGATCACACGCACATATAAGTTTTTTTCAAAATTTGGAGTTTGACTTACATAATTCTTATTTTACATTTAATACAATAATATACTCACAAAAAGAAAGTCTACCAAGAGGGGGTTTTGTCACCAATAGTTGCGGAAATTTTATTAATGGAAAAAAACATAATTTTGAAGTGAAACTGAACAATTAAGATTAATTCACTAGTTTCGTGGTCCGCTTAACCAACTAATATATTACAATTAATTAAGGGTTTCAGTTGAGATAAAAAAGTCAATGGCACGAGCGGGATTCGAACCCACGATCTTCGGCTTGATACGCCGCTGCTCTACCACTTGAGCTATCGTGACCTCGACCCACTCGATTGTGGGTTCGAATGCCGCTCGTGCCATTGACATTTCTATCTCAACTGAAAACCTTAATTAATTGTAATTAAGATTAATTTCAAGATAGTTTAGTATGTGCTCGTGTATCGTGACTTATTTAGAAGAATGGGTGATAAAATCAAATTTACAATAAAAAAAAAGATTGATAAATTATTTAGTCTTAACGTTAATATTGGTAACAATAGAAATATAAAAACAGTTAAGTTATATTTATCTTAACTTTCCCAAAATCTTTTAATTTTAACTTAATATAATAGATAACTATCTTAATAAAATTATCAGATTGTCAGGACCTGAATATCTTCAAAATAACTTAAAGCTATTACATAGCTTATTACTTAAAAATGAATACCCATAAAATTTACTGAATCATCTATTACAAAAATATATTTAAAAAATGATCTTAAATATACAATAAAAAATAGAAAAAATATTTATTTAAGCATTTATTCAAAAACATGATTCAATATCTGTAATGTTATTTATTCAAAAATCGTTATAATTTAGAAAATGGAGAAAAATTTAAAATGATTAACTGTAAAGATAAGTTGATGGGTAGGAGGTAAGTTGTCTTTTCCACAATAGGCTATCCATTTTCACATTTTTTCAACAATAGGCTATCTATTTTCATAATCTCTAAAGGTAATCTATTAATAAATTAAGTAGATATTAATATAAATATTAATTACGTAGATCTATTAATAAATTAAGTTATTCTTTCGTAATAAATACCATCAAGTCACTCGCTAAAAACAACGTATACGACAACCACATAGACATAATAGACAAATTAATTTCACGGAAAGAATCATGGCCAGAGATCTGATTTTTCCTAGACCTACTTCCACACCAAAAAGATACATAACACTTCTATACTTAGGCAGAATTTCAGAATAAATAAACAGTCTATAACTTATTCCTACCCACAGATTGATTACGGATTTCCAAAAATCCAGGATAGACCCTAGCAAAAAATCTAACAATTGTAAAGATGTTTACTTAGTAACAAAAATGGAAAATAATATAGAGAATATCGTACTTAATATAAAAGATCCTGTTATCAATGGACTAAATTCAAATGTAGTTTACAAAACCACATATGACTGTAGTAAGTGTAACATAGCAACAACACAAAAATTATTTAAAAATATGATTAATCAATACAAAACCTCAATTAGAAACATTAAGGAAACCAAAAATTTAGCAAATATGTCAGGTTTGAGTGAACACGTAAAACATTGGACAAGAATTTGAAAACGTACAAATTTTTTGTGAAAAAATTGTAATACACGAATGTTATTATGGAAGGTGTATCTAACATTATACGGTAACCATATGGATATTCAACAACACAAATTTCTTTGGATATGAATTTGATAATTTATTACAAATTTACAAACACGGTAAATCAATAATTTACAAAACGTAAAACTACAAATCAATTGTTTACATTTGGCCATGTTATTCTTAGCCGGGCAAGTATGATCTCTGATCCTGAGAATGTCACCCGTCGAGTATACTAATACACGTCTGTTTATATTGTAAAATCTGTTCACTTTATTATTTACAAATTTTAAAAATTTATTATTTAAAAAACTTTTTTTTAATTTGTGGTTTATAGTAGATCCATTGTATATATCTGAGATACATTGTATGTGTCTCATATTCAAACAAAGGCAAGTGGGGTAAATATTGGCTGTGTTGATGGCGTAAATTCATGGTAGAATTCAAAGTTTAACTCAAGAAACGCTGGAGGCACTTCGTCGACAGTCAAATCCACGTTGCAGTCTCATTTCATAATCACTCCGACTTCCATCTTTATATATGACTATGAAACAAGAAAAACAAATAATTTTTGACTGTCCGTGAAATAATTAACATTGCCCATGTACTTATATTGCCTGTTTTCTGGCTTTTTTTATTATGTCAATCTCAGAGAATACCTCTTTTTAGTCGAAAAATTGATACTCTTTTTATACCGTTTGTGGAATATTTTCACAAGGAAAACGAGAACCCATTAACGTTTCACCGACGGTTTTCCTCGTCGCTCAAATCGATTCGGATATCGCAAAAGTTCGACGAATAGTTCGTTAATAAGTTTGACGTCTCGTGACGTGCGGGGGGATATCTCCTTTCCAGGAGGGCTTTGGCCTCTTACCTTTGGATCGAAAATATTTAAATTGACTCGTGTACGTCATGAAAGTGAAGGGTTGAAACCCGATCAGGAGAAAAGGCAGGGACTTCCTTCCTTTGAACTACTCCTTTGTTGTGCGCGGATTAAGATCATCAACTCGTTTTCTAAAGCTATCAATATTTCTTTAAAAAATATGTAAAACGGCCTAATTAGGTTAACCAATAATAAATCAAACAAAACGCTTGCAAACAACAAATATAAAATATGTAAAAAAAATATCAATTATTGTCGATATATAAGCAACAATTCTTTGATTTTCTTTAAGATCCCTTCTTCAAGAGTAAGAGTGATGAGGGAGGGATAAGATTGTGGTGAATTCGGAATGTACTATCCATGGGAAGCAACAACTCTCTAGTGAGGCATGTTCTAAGTTTGCCAGAGTTAACTGTTGGGCTGATATACATTAGGAAGGGTGGATGTCCCCTTGGGGGCGGCTCGCACCAATGGGACGCCGGGCCGGTGACACCAACATACGTCACGTCCTTTATCTCTCTTTTCGCCCGTCGTCATATCTTTATACGGAAGAAAACCGGGCAAGTTTTGTGAACCGAGTTCGTTCGGACGAGCCGGAGGGACCGGGTGATATGAATAATTTTCCACATCCGTTCGAAGTTTCTGACTGAGGAAATTGAAGAAAGGGAGAAGTTTCTTTTTATGTATTATCTGACGAGCGGTCTTACTGACGAACCACGCAATTTGAGCATTGCCAATTTATTTTTCACATTTGTGAATAATTTTGAAACCAAAATGTAATCATTTTTAACTTTCAATCTTTGCTTTTTCACAGTATTTTTTCAGCATTTCAAACATTGCAATAATAGTTCGGTGTTTTTGTTTCAGGAAACCCTCGGCCAAAAGTGGCCTGGTACAGGGGTGAAGAACTGCTGACCAATTATACCAGTCCCGGTGCGAGCACTGGCCTCGGCCCACAGGCACAGAGCTTGCTCATCATTCACAACCTGGGCCGAGGCGATCTCAGGTCTGAATTGACGTGCATCGCGTCAAACAACAACAGAACCCTTCCGCTCACCTCGACCATCCACGTTGACATGAACTGTGAGTAATGTGAAAAAGACTATTTTCTATTCATTTGTAAAATGATGTTGTATTATTTCCACAACTATCATGCCTGCTCATCTTTGAAGTATAGATCATGTGGAATTTAGTCAAATAGTCCTTTTTTGTTGTTACTTGCCTTTGCCTTATTATTCTTTCATACTTTTTGTGAAAAATTAAGATTGATTGTTAATATTATTAATTTTAATTTTTATTTCTAATTAAGAAAAATAATGTTTCTATAATTCTTAAGGTTGGATCAAATAAAGCCCCTCCTCAATAAATGGCCATGGCAACCCGCTTAATTCGAAGAAATCCTTTTTGCATCTGACTTACTTCCGAAAATCAATAAAATCGGAGAATACTTTTCCAAATTTAAATAAACGTTTCTCTAAATATTGATGTTTTTCGAATTATATTTGACCTACGACAAGAGCTGCTATAATTGAAACACTGATGAAATCCTGATGAGGGAACTTGGGCGGAAAAGAGGCAAAACAAATATAAATGGAGCTTCCTTGTTATAAGAAATGTTTCCTTGTAGTTTCCAAGAGAACTCTATTAAAATTAATTGGCAGTCAGCGACAATAATGCCCTGCAAATCTCTCATAGCCGAGAATATAATAACTCGAAAATAATATTTTCTCGTTTAACCCATGGAGCACATGCTTAATCCTAAGTTAACGAAGATAATATACCCATGAAAGCGTTATTAGGAAACACAGAAGAACCAAATTTATTAACTAATTACTGCTAAAAACATCAGGCCATTTTCCATCATCGTTCATATGAATAATTAGTCATTCGTCTAAATCAAGCAAATGCCTGTATGTTTGCGAATATTTGGAATACTGAAATGATATATGATAAAAGAAAATAAGTGATATAATTAGAATTTACAAGGAGAGGATAATTATTTACAGGATTTTGTTTTAGGTATGCTATGTTTAGCTGAAGTTAATGAACAGAATCTGTTTTTTATTATTTATGTTTTGTAAAGGAACGATCATAAATTCAGGGATGTCAGTCTGAATCGAACCCAGGTTGGTTATGCCTTCCTGATTGTGACTACGTTGGCGGTAGCTCAGTGGAGAGGGGGGTTATCACAGAAAAGATTTTTTTTAAAAAGAAGAAAAAACAGAGACACGGATCCTGGATCCGAACCGGAGCCGATCGACGTAGCGCTTGTTGCTTATGAAGCGGCGGTTCCACCAACGGTTACACTATTCAAATTGACCTTAAACAAAGTGCTTCCTTCTTCTTAAAAAGCTAATTCATAACACGAAGAATTAGGGCTTAACTAAATAGACAAAAAAGAACACAACCAATTTACGAACTGAATTTGCAATTGATTTTTTTTTTTTTTTTTAATTAAACCTATAAAGCGGAAAGATACAACTTAACTGAAGTTCCAACTTATCAGGCCTGATAAAGAAAAAAGACGAACTCTTAAGATTACTCGTTCTCGAATGTCTTGGTCGTCTGTGCTCCTGGTTCTTCAAACCTCTCCATTTCCTGTACATCCTAAGTCAAGACATAACAGGACTCATCGACATGGAATCATTTCAGTCATCAGACCTATCACTAGAACGTACTCAAGACTCTTGAAAAACAATGTAGTCCACATACTCTCACAACCTCTATATAAAATAGTATTTGGAACTCAACACAACAAACAAAAAAAGAAACACCGCCTGTACTTACAATCGTTCAAAATACATAAGGGTATTAATTACGGAAAAAGGACGTGCTCGTGCCGCTTGGTAGCTCTCAAGGTACCCGTCAGACAGGACTAATCGACTCAATAGACAACTTAAAACAGAACTACAAAGCCTCAAAAAGAAACACATAACAACTTCACCACCCGGTTAACTCCTGATAATATTCACTGTGTGCGACCACAAAACGTTTCCTTTCAAAACAAGACTTCCTCCCAACCCCTTCGCAGAGATGATGGTTTTTGGGACAAGTCCGACGAAGGAAAATTCTAATATCTTTGCCCAGCACCTATCCACCATCTTCTTGCCGCACATCGACAATCATGATCCTCTACAGACAAATGATATCGAACAAGACTTGAATACTCCTTTACTTCTTTCTCTTCCTCCAAAACCTTTTCACCTTCCGACATAATCAGCCAACTCCCCCTTAAAAATAGTCCTGGATTTGATTTAATTATGGGTTATATCTTTCGCTATCTAGCAGAGAAAAGCCATTGTTTTCCCTATTTACATTTTTAATTCCATCCTGCGAATGATATATTTTCCTCCTACAGGGAATTTTCCAATTCTATTTCATAAACCATTCAAATCCGTCAATCTTTCTTCATCCTTGCTTTATCAGTCTGTGTTTTGTAATGAATAAATTTCTCAAGAAATGCCTATGCCTTATCATTTAATCTCAAGAAATTATTCCCAGTAACCAGTTTGGATTTAGGACTCTACTCAACAACCTATCAATGTCGTCACATTGTGGACGTTATTTCATTCTCCCTTGAGCAGAAGCAGTGTTGTCCGGGTGAGCTCCTTGACATTGCTTAAGCCTTTGACAGGCTTAATCCGGGCCTCATGTGGAAGCTGGCCCCCGACCAATACCCTCTACCTTATCATAAACTCATACCTGTCTGACCGTTACTTCAGAGTTAGTTAAGTCACATCAATATCCTCTATCTATCTTATCCAAGCTGGCGTTCCGCAAGGGATCATTCTTAGACATGTCCTTTACACTGTATATACTGCTGACATTCTTATCTTCCAGAAACAATTCTCTCCATTTTTGCTGACAATACAGCAAACCTAGGGGCATCGGTGGCCGCAACGGTTTAGGCGTTGACACGGCGCTTATCATCGTAAGGTAAAGGTCCCGGGTTCGAATCCAGCAGCCTTGCATACAAATGGGCTGTTGTGATCCCTCGTTAAAAAAAACTAAAAAAATAAAATAACAACACTAGACTACCACTAGAGCAATCCTTTTCCCGCATAATGATCCACATCCATCCTGTCACCGCATACAGAAAATTTTAAAACTATTTTCAGTGCCTCAACTTTAGTTCAAAAAGTAACGAGTATGGCCATCCTTAAAGGCAGCTAGTATCAGTTAATAAAAATGTCAAAATATCAAAAAACAGATATATTGCGCAAAAAGACAACAAAATTATCAGTGTTTTCATTGAAGTAAATGATTCACAAAACTCACGCAGAATTATTTGGATGACATCAAAAGATATTAAGCCTAACCGTGAGGGGAAAATTTAAATTCTAAGAACATTAAAAAATATAAAAAATATTCCACTTGCCTATCGTCTTTAAAAGTAATAAAAGAACAAAGTTCTAAAAAAAACTCATTTGGATGATTGATTTGATCAGATTAAATATGATTAAATCTCCAGTTCTTCGGTTTTAATTTCCAACTCGGTTCAAATACGTTTCATCTGGTTCGTCCGAAACGCCATGAAAAATTAAAATGAGAGTGCGATAAAAAAATTAATTTTCTTTTTACTGCAATATTAAATATATTCTCCCTTCAAGTTTTTCAAAATTAGATATAAAGCGGGAGTATATATATATTTTTTAATTGTCGCTTGTACTAATTAAACTTCAAATTGAAAAAAAAAGAAGAAAGTAAATGAGATCAGAGAGGGACTAATCAAACTTCGCATCTACTGCCTTTTCTTTTTTGCCGTTGCGTGCCTTGCAACAAAGCAATTTAAATTGAAATACCAAAAAAACTTTATTAACAAAAATTAATAAATGCGGGTGTATTTACCTTTCTCCAGTATTTGTACAACTGTTGGATCCGGACTTGGGTCACCTATTTGAACGAAATGTTTTGTTTATTTTCCATTAAAGTAAACAAAAAGATTTGTTTTGACTAAAAAAGTGGAATTCGTTTTGAGCACTTTTTTAAAACGGAGCGCAGCCTTTAAATTTAAATATAAATTTTATTTTTAAAAAGTCACGTTTGTGCTGGTTCATCAGGGAAATTTTCTTTTGGAAGTGGAGCATTCCCCATGAAAATATATAACTCCTCCACATTTTGATCAGAGTCTACGGTATTACTTTAAGCTATTAAGGTATTGCTTTAAGAAAAGCAGCGTTTTTCTTCTTTGAGCAGACTTATTTTTTCTGTCATCATATATGAAAAAATGATGATAAAGCAGAGGAAATTTTTTTATTTTTCTAAAAGTGGGTTTTTGTTTGTTTCGACGTATAAAAAATATTTAAGATTGAATGAAATGGAATTAGCTAAATAAATTTTAACAAAATCTCTCGATAAGGTATGATTGTATAATCAGAAAATAGGTCTGAGGTAGAAATAGTTTTAATTTCTATAATAGCCCTTCATGTCTTGGTCGAAAGCCTCAGAAACATCTAACAACACTCCAGCACAGTAGAGACATAAGTAATGTAATCTCTAACTCTGCTAAGTTGGATGAGTAGTGGATGATGGGCTCGAAAGTCAAATTGATGGTGTGCTAAGATGTTGTTCCAAGTAACTATAGAGATAATTGTTCCGTGAATTAATTTTTACAATAATTTACAAGGAATGGGTAACAAACTAAGATGATGTAAGATGGTGGGAAGGTTAAATGTTCATGTGGATTTGTGATCATTTACGACAGCTTTACTTTTTACTGGAATTCTGGAAAAACTTCACCTGTTATTCATTTTTTTTCTAGGAAGATCTAGAGGTGCCAAACGTATATAAATGTGTAATACTGATGAAGCCATGAGGTTGGAATACGTCGGAGACATACCAAAATAATAAAAAATCGTGTTTTTTGCTGGATTCGCCTGGTGTAGTTTTATTCCGTTTATCGTCAGAAAAATTCATAGTAGGTCTTCATTTTAGCCAAACTCGATGCTAGTACAACCTATTATTTATTACAAAGCCTAATTTTTCTACTTTTAGTCCTTGTCATTAAGATTTGGATTTTACGTTATTATAAAAGAGTAGAATAAGTAAGAAGGACTAAAAGTATATATATATTACTTGAAATA